TTTTATTTTTGCTTTTTGCTTTTTGTTTTTGTTTTTTGTTTTTCCTTTTTACTTTGCTTCCTTGGTTCTACTTCTAGACTCGGATGGAATGGAACTCGTGGAAGTTTAGGATTTTAATTTTGTTTTTTAAAATTGCAATATTATTTATTATAATTCTGATTGGTTTGATTTTATATTATCTATAACGCAAAAAATTATTTTCATGTGATAATGAAAAGTTTAACTGTAAATGAAGTTTTTCAAATATGTGATTCAATTCAAGCATTTGTATGAGATTTCATTACAATGTGACAAATGTATGTGTATAAAACAATATTATTCGATTATTATTATTGACTTAAAGTCTTTAACACTATTTGAAAAGAGAAACATCTTAATATAATAAATGATTTATTCGAAAAATCACAAGAAAAAAAGTAATTAATTTGAGGGAAACGTGAAATTATAAATTATTTTCAAAAAAATTACGATAAATAAATAAATAAGAACTCAAATAAAGCACAGCAATAAATTTGTGGTGCTCGAACTTTTTTTTTTTTTTTTTTTGGCATATTATTTTGACAAAGATGACTTCTGAATCTGTATCTTCTGCCATAAAAAATAAAACCACATAAGCCTACATATATAACTTAATATTCTGTTTAATAATTTAAAATAAAATAAAAAATAAAACCACATAAGCATACATATATAATAAATAGGCAGTAACATCTCAATATTTATCATAAAATTTAAATCCGTAATGTGTCATTTAAGGCATTACCATCATTTACATATTAAAATCCATAAAACTACACATAATTTGGGACATAAATTCTGAATAAACTTTTAAAATGTATGATTTGATTATTTGTTAGGGAAAAATTATTTGGGATGGAAGAAGATAATCGGTTGATAGTTGAGTTATCTAGAATGTTCCATGTTGATGTCACTAATTACGGCTCTGGACTGGACTGGACTGGACCGGAGGCAATTTTATACCTTCGAAAAAGAAAATATTAAATAATATCTCATTTGAAACAAAATATTAATTTTAAGGAATTAAATAACCTATAATTCAACCAAAACCCATTAATGAATATTTGATAAGCTCTTGAAAATGGCAGGTCATATACATACTGGACAAAGCCTCGTTGTTATATGGCCCACATTAATTTGTTTCATTGCGAATTTTATCATTTCCAATAAAAATAATTGGGTCTGTTGGTATATTATCTGAAAAATATTGTTATGAAAAACTGTTTTAAGTTGAGTTGAGTTTAATTAAATCAAATAGGATCAAATTCTGAAAATGTGTTTGATATAAGATCTGAAAATTATATCAAAGTTTGATAAAATACTGGAATAGTTGTTTGGTACAATTTTTTTTTAAGTTTTTAAGTCAGAATAGATGTTTGGTATATTTTCCTAAAATATTTATTATTATTATTATTTTAACCTCATATATTTGTTAATTTAATAAAACACCCCCACAATAAAACTTTAAAAATTAACTAAAACACCCTAACACCTAAGAGGATAGCCATCCACCAGCCAATATCGTTGAACGGTAGCCGACAGTCATTAGAACAGCGTACAACCAGTTGGATTTGACTAGTCGTATGTTGATATAGTCATTTTCGACTAGATCTTTGGCCATTAACGGTTAGATCTCTAGCTGTTGTTAACAACCAGATATGACCAAATTTACGCACGATTGGCCACATTAGTTGGCGACGGTGGACGGTGGTTGTCTTAGATGGATTAATTTTAAGATTAGAATAAGAGAAAAATGAGAATGAGAGGAAAAAAAATGTTTTTTGTTGAATAGAGTTAGATGAGAAAATGTTTTGAGTTAAATAAAGTCAATAATAAGAAAATAAGTTTCCCTCTTTTCACTTTCAGACAAAAAAAAATGTTATTTAATTTGAACTAATTTTTAAAATAATGATCTCAATAAATAAACAAACACACGTATATCCCATTTTTTTAAATCTAAATAAGATATGAGAATAATAATTGATAATAGTGTAGCAAAAATGGCTTATTTCTCAAAATTCAGAAAAAACTTATTGTAGTTCAATTAATTATTTGAAAAAATGTGATAGAAAGAACGTACATTGAATTGAATCCATAATAACGATTGCAAATTTTCCAAATATCTAGAATGAATGAACTGAAAAGTGAGTGATGTGATAGTCTCAAATATCTTCTTTTAGTTGTTTTGTTTAATTTTAACTTTTAAGGTGTAAATTCATTATTCTTTTACCCTCGTCTAAGTGAAGTTATATTGAACGGGACCAACATTTTGGGCTCACTCAACCTTATTGACATTTGGGTTGGACTCGGGGAAACTTATTAGACAGACTGTTGTAGGATCTGGATTTTGTTGGAGAGGTTGGGCTCAACCCCAAAGTGCATCAACTACCCCATAGAAGGCAGACGGAAGTCCATTTAAAATAAGAGAAAAAAAAGTTCTTTCCTCTTGGGCAAATATACCTCTAAAAAACATTGTTTTAAAATCTGATCCGTTGTAAGACCTATTAGAGTAATCGGGTCACGGGTTAATTAGTCTAACCGGTTGGACCGGCTGGTTGTTGGATTGGTGATGTTAGCAATAAAATAGTTTAAAAAAAAATTCAATTAGTCCCTTAAATGTTAGTATATTACAAAAATACCCCTAGAAATAAAAAATTAGGCCCTGAATTTTTAATTTATTTCAAAAATTCCCCAAATAATTATGTTAGTCCCTAAAGTTTTGAAATATTACAAAACATAGCCATAAAATTCAATTAGTCCCTACAAATTTGAAAAATAGCAAAATCCCCCCTAGAACATGAACTAGACCGGAGAAGTTGTCGGGTCTTGATCCGTCCAACCAACTAGTTTGATCCAGTTTTTAAAGTAGAGCTAAAAAGACGATGATCAAGGGAACAATAGTAGACGAGAAAATTTGTTCAAAGATTTCTGAATCTTCAGTCACTTTAGAGAACATGAGCCCAAAAATGAAGCCTAGAACTACATCATGAATCTAAAGATTGATATTCTATATTATATATTTTCGAAAAGACAAACTTATGTATACAAATTTAATAAAGAAATAGAAATCACAGTGAAATGGTTTATGATAACAATCCATCAATTCATAAGAAGGATTTGAATGTAGGGAGTATGATAGATAATATTGCATCAAATCATTGAAGGGTGGGTGAGTGTTGTTGGTCAATTAACTACTTCTACTTGTCTTGATGAATCTTCACACGAAGTGGGATGAATATTGCAGCACCATGGACACAATCAAGTCTTTAATATTTTGAGTAAAATTACATTTTCCCAGCCCAATAATGGTTCAACGACACTTTCTTACTTACAAACTTTTAATATTTTATTTTATTATTTATATTTATATTTTAATATCAATTTCAACATCATTACAATTCCACACTATCACTATTCTCTTCCCTTATTATTACTTATCAAAATCTTTCAAACTCTATTACTATCGATCTCGTTAATTATTAGCAATCGAACTATCAGGATTTGTGTAGTTGTCTCTTTCAAATCAAATTATAATTAATCTAAATTACCAAAATCTAATATTTTATTATCAAAAAACTCATCAATATTTTCTCTTTGAAAACCTTAATAGCCTGGATGCTGTTAGATTCTTTACGTATTTTCTTGGAAAGACATAGCCAGAGGACAATCCCAAAAGGCCAAATATCATGCTTTTGGAGAACCCACATGGGTCCAATGTGGTATTTTTGCTTTAAATGTAGTGATGTTTAGTCATTCAACTCTTCTTCCTTTCTTCAAGATGACGACAATATATCATCATTGGATCTGGAAAATGTGATATTATTAGTTTATTACTGAATGGAGTGAATGATTATGTCATTTTCTTAAGAAAATAATACCTCAACTTTTGACTTGTCTTTAGATTCCACTAGTCTCTACACAGCAAATTTGAAAGATGGTGGGATAATATCAAGCCATTAAATCGTTTGTTTTTCTTAAGAATCCAAAGCATTCATTTCTAAAAAATATTCTTCAAGGCCAACTTGCTAACAATCAATTGTTTTTTCTTGGTTTTATGTGATAAAAGTGGGCTTGAGTAAAGTCCAAAACAAGCTTAGAGGAGGGAGTAGAATCTAGAGATGGCAATGAGTCTAATATTTTTGAGTACCCGGGCCAACCCATCCCAAAAAGATCGAGCTTTACCTAATGTTCACAAGTGACTTAGGTTTGGGCTTGATTTTAAGACCTGACCTCGGGTACGAGCTGAGCCTGGATATGTCTTTAGGTTCGGCTCGACCTGGCCCGACAATTTGAGTATTAATTATATTAAATTACCCTTATATTATATATTTAATTACGAGATTATCCTACATATATATACTCATTTTTCTCAAACCCTACATGGATGGTTGGATATATTTTGTGGAAAGCTATTTATATATTTGGTGAGTATTCAAAAATATATTAATATTTAAAAATTGTTTCTAGGATTAAAAATATAAAAAAAGATTAAAATTTATTAATATTTAAAAATTTATATTATAAAAATGGGTGAGCTTGGGCCGAGTATGAGGTTACAAAAAGCTCGTCAGGTCAAGCTTGGGGTTTACTTGTCATACCCGTGACAGGCCCGAGCCGAGCTTGGGCCTTTGTCATGAGGTCAGGCTTGGGCCTGGGCCAAGGAATAACCGGTCCCAACCCAGCCCATCGCCATCACTAGTAGAACCACTTATATACACAAGTGTCAATTAACTTGGTATGGTGATGTGATAACTCTTTCTCGTGTTTGACGTGCAAGGCCGGGTCAAACCTATTATATAAGTGTCCACTAACTTGGTATGATGATATGAGAATTCTTTCTTATGTTCAGCATGCAAGATCGGGTCCAAACCCATTATCGTCTCACCTCAAATAAACATAGTTTTGATATCATGATAAAGTGAGTTTGAGTAAAACTCACGTCAAAAGATAGTTCAAGGGAGTAGGGAGTTCAACCACTTATATGCACTATAAATGCCTACCAACTTGGCAAAGAAATTCACCTTCAATATTATGTATAGTGAGGAATCTGCTAAAACTTTAATTAAAAATGTGGATCGATAGACTCCAGTTTTCTTTAGGTCAATACACTCAATAAGCATATATTATTGAGTGTATTTGGACATCTACTAAATATAGCGATACAATTAAAAGATTCCCCCTTTCTTTATTACAGCTGCAAAACAAAGAAAATGGCAAAGTGCATATTCCCCATGAAACAAACAAACTACGACCCGCGTTTCTCAAGAATTTTGATCTTCATATCGTTGGTAAATTGGTTGAAGTTTTTTTCCGATGATCCATCTTTGGACAATGCTTTCTCTATTGTATCTCTCACCCCAATTACATTCTTCCTCAATTCATCATTCCATTTTCCACTCATCAGACGATGGATTTTCTCCGAGACTTCATCCCTCGAGATTCGCTTATTGTCACAAAGATTGAGTCCAACCTTCCAATCATCCACCACTAGTTTTCTATTAGTGAATTGATCTGTCAACAGAGGGAAACACAACAATGGAACGTTACACCATATACTTTCCAATATTGAATTCCAACCACAATGAGTTAAAAACCCTCCAACTGCTGGATGTGAAATTACTTCAATCTGGCAACACCATGGAACAATCAACCCTTTACCTTTGATATTTTCTTCAAAATCAACGGGCAGGAATTGGGTTTCATCAGAACTAACAATATCAGGGCGAAGCACCCAAATAAAATTCACTTCACTGAGCAAAAGGCCTAGGGCAATCTCCTCAATCTCTTCCTTACTTACATGAGCGTAGCTACCAAATGATAGATACAAAACTGAGCTATGAGGCTTTGTGTTGAGCCACTGGGTGCACTCGTACTCGGACCAGAGGCTCGTAGTCACTACACTTTTGGTGAATCCAGTTGGGAAAATGGGTCCGATAGCGAAAGTTGGATGCTTTTTTTGTAAGGCCGAAATGGTTTCTGACTCGAGCTCTTGCACTGTGTTGCAGATGATGAAATCAGTTTTTCTTACGTTTTCAAACGACTTGCTTATTATTTGGTGTACCACCGTTCTTGTATCGGCAGCTTGAAGATATGACATCAAATCCTTTGGCTCTATTGCCGCAACTCCAGGAATGTAATCAATTGTGTCCTCTCGATTCTCTGATCCAAAATTAAAGAAAAAAAAGAAAAAGAAAATGCAATGTTTCGTTATTAAGGTAACAGTTTGATAACATATAACAATCTTAAAAGTTACCAAAATATCTGTTTCTCAACCTGTGAAGACCATGGATGACAAAACGACATTTAAGCATGATCTGATTAGAGCGCGCGTCCTGATTTAGGACCGTGCTTAATCACTATTAGAATCTCCTGATTAGAGAATTTTCGTGTTATATAGAGATAGATAGAGGGAACGCACCGACTGAATCAAAATGGCCATGGCTTCGGAGGAGGTCCATGTGATAATACAAGGTAAAAACCAGAGCTGTTTCAGTCCAAAACGAAATATTAACAAGGTTATACTTCTTTGCAATCATGGATGACCAGACGAAGAAAGTATCCGTGATAAGGCAAGAAACTTCGGGATTCATTTCTACTATATTTCCCACAAGTTCATCAACATGTGCAGAGAATACATGCAGAAGACTCTCCATGAACTGGTCGTGGTTGAGGGATCGATCGAACCCTAGTGGAAGACCGTCACTAACCGTTCTGTACCGGATGTCTAGACCAGATTTACGTGCTTCGGCAAATAGGTCGTCCTCGGTTTTGTTGTGCTGGGCTCTGGTTTGTTGGTGATGAATGGAGTGAGTGTTGACGAAGGTGATAGTGAAGCCATTTGAGGCAAGCTTCAAGGCGAGATTAACAACAGGGATGACGTGGCCTTGGAGAGGGTAAGCAATTATGAGAATATGAGGGTTCTGGTTTTGTTTGTTATTTTCCATGATTTGAGTGATGTCTGTGACTGTGAGTAGTGTTTTGGAGAGACGAGATCTATCTGGAGATGGGAGAGGAAGAAGGGCCGGCACAGTGTGAAAAGCATCTACATCTAAAGGCGTATATATTTATTTGTGTGGTAGAATATGAACTAATTTTTAAGGTTATTGAATTTTATTATTTAATAAATTTTCTCTTCAATGAAACTAAATTTCTCGTCAAAATGATTAAAGCAGCCAAGGACACCGATCCATCACTACACAAAAACTTAAAATCAATTTTTTGAAAAAGCAAATAAAGCAACACAAATTAATCCTACCAACTTTTTCAGACCAAATCAATTTTTTTGAAACCCATGGCCACCACAGCACGGTACCCAATACAACCAATTTTTTGAAAAAGCAAATAAAGCAACCAAATCAATACATACATCAAATTTCAAACAAAAAAAAAAAAAGAGGAGGAAAAATTGAAACCCATGACCACCACAACACGGTACCCAATACAAGATGTGGAGCCTCGTACAGGCAAAAGGTTTCTACAAAATAATAAACAACGAAAAAAATCACTTTAAAACAATAAAAAGAAAATTTGAAACCCATAACCAACACCTCACCCACACAAATCAAACTAACATCCCTTACAAAGAACAGCACCAGTGTTTCAGAACTAAAAATCTGATTTTTTTTTTTTTTTTTTTAGTAGGAGAGTTGTGATGATGGTGAAGTGCGTGGAGTTGTGTTGGGGCGGAGTTGCAAGCATAAGGCTGTGGCCGTGGAGATTCTCCGCCAAATTTGATAGTCTGTGCCTCTGTGGTGTAGAGATATATTTTGAAGTCTTAAAATTATTTATGTTTTATTTCTTATAAGGGATAAACAATTATTCATTAATAAAAATAGATTAGTTTATTTTTAATTATTTTATTATGAATTAGGGGTAAATAAGGTATTTTATTATGAATTAGGTATTGATTTTTACCCTAATATTTTGTCATCAAAGTTATTATTTAATAATTGACATCTCACTTGAAAAAAGACAAACGCATCATATTATGCGATGACAAATTCCAACAAGAGAAAGATGTTGGGTATTGACAATGGTAGAGAATCTTTCTATCAATAATGCTATGTTTATATATGGTACCTATATTATACGTATGGTATCCGTATTATGCGTTATATTTACAAAGAATAGTAAGATGGTTAGTAAGATCATGAGTAAGCATAGCATTACTCATTCTACTATTCGACGCTCAAGTTTGTCATGTTGGCGTGTACATAATGGGATTTTTTCATAAATTCAGGTCAAGTTACTGCTAAACTAAACTTGTAGTTAAATAAATCTATTAATACAAGGACCAAAAAGCTAGTATTCCTACTAAACCAAAACAATAGGGTCCCAATTTTTTTTTTTTTTTTTAACCAATAAAAATAAATAATGAGGTCTAAATACATCTACACCCTCAAATTTGGGATGTTTTAAAAAGGTGGAATTTACACCCCTAATTCAAACCAGCTTTACAGCTATACCAATTAAACAAAGCTTAAACTCTTTGAATCCCATTTAAAAAAAAAGCCAAGACCCTCTCAAACCCGCGACACTACCAAATTGGTCAGTGGCATCGGAACGATGCGACATGGACTGGTGAAGTGTTGTTGACGTTGGGATTATTGTGAAGTTACCCAATTGAAATGAGAACTCAATGCGTTTATGGTAAATACAGCATAGACAATTCAATGTGTAATCATAACACAAAAATAGAGGACTATGAGAAAGAAATTGTCCCAATAGGCAATCAGAAAACAGTGAAGAGATTTATAGATGGTTTTCCAACTAAAACATACAAAGGATGTCAGATGAAGTTATTTTTGTCTATTGGGGTTGTACAGTTCCTCACTTCAGTTACAAATAACATTATACACAGAAAAAGAAGTTGAAAGTGGGGTGTAACAGTTTTTCCATGTCTATTTTTGTACAGATGAAGAGGGCTGTTTGATCTGAGAACTTTTCCTCACAAAGCCAAAGCATTCTCTTGGTCTATCAACCATCCTTCTGGTCAGCTAAACTACGAAGTGATTGTAGCTAGCTACATGAAACTGACAATACAGTTTTCTGCATTCTGTAAATGCTCGTCTGAGACCCAATTGGGTGGAATTCTCAACCCTGACTGCCAATTTTAAAATCAGAAAGGGAGGCGGTTTCTCGTGTTTCAACTGTTGTCGGTTCTTTCTTGTCCAACCCAAAGAATGAGCAATTTTGAAATGCATCCAGACTGCTGGCTATCAGACGGCTTAAACCTCCAAGGCTATCACCAATAATTATATCTTCACAACGATATTTAGAGGATTGTATGTCCAAATCTAATGGTCCTAAAGAGTCAGGCTGCAGAAGTAGAGAACATTGAATAAGGTCAGTTATCAAGAAAACTCTGCTCAAAGAGTAAAAATATAATAAAAAATTTATCAACTATGATTTCCCTATTCCTACTGACAAGCGTTGTCTAAACAACTCCTCAGCATAACAGCTTAGCTTCTCACAAGAAAATTTAAGTTATCAGGTCAAAAAATAATACAAGATATTATCAGTGATTTATAATACCCAATATATGTCTGTTAGCCCACTGAAATCCTTCTCAGAATTTTCCAGGCTATGTAAATCAGTTGGCTTCTCATTCATAGGGTCTTCTCCAGTAAGATCGTCTGCAGCTTCCTTATCATCCTTTAATTCCTATAGGGAAAGTAGTAAATTACAGATAGTCCACTTTGTAAGCTCTTCTCCTGAAAAATAAAAATTGATTATGAAATGATACCTCAATAAAGCCCCCAGAACCCTCTGAGCTTGTTTCTACAAACGTTTTGCAGTCTACTGCAGGACTAATGTCAGGCAATCTAGAAGCCTCTTGATAAAGAGTATGATTCTTTTGAAATGAGAAGGCATCACATGTTTCTTCAGCATCCCAGATGGAAGTAGTATGGGATGTCAAGGTGGATACATGTTCCATCTTGTTTTGATGTTTAGATATATGGGCAGCAATGGCTGCATCAAATGAATCACAGCTGAATGGGATCTGCTGAAGACATTGAGAAGTTTCCGCAACAGATGATGCATCAATACCATGAAGCACATCTGAAAGTAGATCTCCCACACTTATATTGGTGAGACTGTCTGCCCACTCCCCAGCTGATAATGCAGTACCATTGCTTGATTTCATGTCACCCTAAAGCATACACGGAAAATTAGAAGAGTACAAAATGGCTCATAGATCTGGTATCATGACTAACTGTTCTACAATAATAGAAGCTACTGTACCTTAAAAAATGGAACACGGTGATTTTAACTGATATAAATCAAATCTCAACAAATCTAATCTTCATGAAGTTCTCTTTTTGCAAAAGAACAGTATAATTCACTATTTCATAGATTATCTTTCCTCTTATACGTTGCTGCTTTCTTCAAATGAAACAAGAAAAAACTACTTCTTTCCTACTCTAACAAAAATATGGCAGATCTAACAACTTGAAAAATTTCTTAAAGCCAAGTAAATTTCTAATTGGTCACCAGCAAAACTAATATGTTAAGACCACATATGATAAAGCAAAATGCTAGCAAGCAAGAAGAAAAATAAAGTCACTCTAGTGAGACGACATATGATAAAATAACAGGTGGTTAAGACCATCAGAAGAGAGTATCTTCCATTTGCGAAGATATTAAATATTCATCCATATAATGGAACTTAATACAAATAAGCTTTTTTAATAAGTTCCCGACAAGGATCCATGGTTCTAAGTAATGGCATGTATGTCATATATTTAAGGTCCTTAGTAGTTAGTAGTGCACAAATGAAGAAGCTGTAATCACGCTTACTAGAAGCAAACAGATTTAAAAGCATGGACAAGGTAAGAAGATATTACCACATCTTCCAATTGTCTGGTGACAGACTTGCTGTCAGGCTCCTTCTTGTGCCATGAGACTTTAGCTGCAGGATCTGACTCCATAAAGTTACTTTTTGGAGTGCTGATGGACTTAGTAATCTCATGGGGCATATTACTTAAGGAAGACGCAATCGCATGGTTTTCTTTCACAGAGGTATCATTATAGGAATCCACAAGCTTCTCAGGTTGATCACTAGTTGATTGCTCAGCTTGGTCCTTCCCACTTTTGACATTGTCAGTATGCACAACAGGAATATAGCAAGATGCTGATGGAGCTTGCACAAGTTCAGAACTGGAAAACCAAGCATACCTTCAAATAGAATTCATCAATCCATCAGTCTACTACTAATCTAATATGGAAGCACATATAAGTTCATAAAAATGAGAAAGGAACCTCAAGCGGAACAGTGGAGGGCTCCCAATTATTGTGTACACATCTGCTGCACTAACAATTGAGTCCTGTGTCCATCTCTGATGACCCACTAGGTTTTCTCTTTGAACACTGTAAGGGAAAAGCATTAGCTGTCCAGACGCTGCACTGGAATTGCCCCATTTGCGATTGAGATGTTCCACTACTGATGATATCTTTTTTCGAGTACTAAGGGTGAGCTCTAGATGTGGATTATGGTTATCCTGTGAAGACATGAAGATACAATTACTTCCCCGACATTGCTCAGCTGCTAAAACTTCATTCTACAGTCTACACCATCATAATTTCTTACCATTTCCAAGGCTCTTCGAGTACCTTCATCAATTGGATACAGCTGAAGCTTAAGTTTCACAGGGGCGTGTGCGCTGTTCTCAGCGAAAAGATTTTGAGAAATAGCAGGCAAAGGGAGTGGAGCTTTATCAACAGGCTCAAGTGCATTTTGCTCTGGAAAGGAAAGAAACATGATTAAGTTTAATTCAATTTTACAAAGGAAACATAGATTGTCTATATTCAACCTCATGTAGTGTACCTTGGTCAAGTTCAACTTCTTTATCAGTAGCTGTCCGCTCCAAATGCTCAGCAGCATCAGCAACTAAAGAAACCCCAGCAATTGCAGCCTTTTCCCACTTTTTATATGCAGCTGACAAGACAGTAGCTGCTATGAGTTGAATTACAAGCAAACAAATAAAAGAAATCTTAATTTCCCAGAGAATGATATCAACATGCAAACAAAAGAATTAAAGACCACAATGTCACCTTCCTATGCCGATTTTTAAAAAGACAATACAACAAACAAATGAAAAAGAATCACCTGGTTTCCTTCGTTGCCTTGCAGGTTTCATAGTAGTCATTTCTCCCTTGTTAGTACGATTAACACCTATGTTAACATTGCGCTTCAATGATCCTTTTGCGGGCCCTAATTTTTGTATGTTTTGACTATCAACAAGAACCAGTTTAACTGTGCAAGTATCCTGTCCTGAAGGCCTATTCTGATTGGAGACAGTACTGGAAGCTGTAGGTGAACAGTTTTCCCCTTGGGAAGATCGTTTCTTAACACTTCTCTTCCTGTCTTTCAAGAGTTGGTGCTCCTTCATAGCAAAGATATATTTATCATCAGTCTTAGCGCAAGCAGAAGAGGCAATGTTATAAACATAGGAAAACACAGAAGGATGAGTTATTGAAAATTTCGACTAACCAAGGCTTCTACAAATATCTTAAACCTTCGGGGCTTTAGGTGAAGCTTTGAGGCTTTGCAGCTATACTTTTCCAGTAAAGACCACCTGGAAAAAAAAAAAAAAGATTTCTTCTGAACACAAACACCACTACTTGATGTAAATTTTTGCAGGTCATCTAGATTGGGTTACAAAATAAACATCTCAAACATGATTCCCAGTTTCTTAATGTTTCTGCTACCATTGCATATGGTGTATAGAAAGAATGTATCTAAACAAAAGGGTCGACCTATTTATAGTAAAATTACCATCGAAGCATTGCAGCATTGGTATCCTTGGAGTTTTTTGCATCCAGACATAATCCTGGACCCAGCAACTTGTTCATACGCCTCACAAGACGATAGTAATAATGCCGGACCTGAAGTAACCAAAACAAAAACAAAGATCAAAATGTTGACAAGAAAACAGAACAGTCAAGATAAGCAATCACCAAATGACAGCAGTGAGATTTCATAGCAAATCACCTGGTCCTTGTTTTTACTTTGTACTTTATGAGTGATCTTCTCGAAATTCTAGAATCAATGCATAACAAAGTTAGGAATTTAAAAATGATGAGCAAACAAAATGCTGAAAATACATGCTAGTAATAACATGCCTTGCCAACTTGTCGTAATGCAGTGAAGAAACTTTCTTCCTCTTGCCGTGTCCAAGCAGCCCATTGCCGTTTAGCTGCATTTGATATTCACAGAAAATTTATTCATATTGTAGCACATTCACTAAAGAACCCAAATAAGAAAACCCAAATATGAAAATTACAAGCAGAATAACATACCAGACTGCTGAAGCATAGCATTTTTAAGGGTGGATGAGGCTACAACAGGACCTGCATCCTGAGTTGGAGTATTCTCAGGGTCAAGGTGTACCTCAGACTCCGAGGACAACTGTGATCCTATCTGCATGTTGTAGACATCACAATACCCAAAACATTTATGCACTGTTTCTCTTCAGCTTATGCCTCAAAATATGACTCCTTTTGACCTTCAACTTGGCGAAAGCACAATCGTAGCAACGCTGGTTGGGCAAATGGATATTAAGCTTTAATTCTCTAAAATCAAAACAAGTCAACTCTAAAAACGAATTCAATCATATAAACAATCTTACCACTATAAAAAGAAAACAAATTTCGAAATTGGGATAATATGAAAATTTCCAATCCAAATGTCACAACCAAATCCCTAAGTACAACATATTCCACATCCAAAGCATATAAAAAAAGACGTTAAACAATCAAATTCACCAAACTAAAGCAACCAAAATTGTATTAGCGAAATATATATATATAATCTGAGAGCTCATCGCGGTACCAGATCCCAAAGAGCGAACATCGAATACGATTAAGGCAATACAACTACATGAACGAGTTCAATTCGATACAATCCTTTACTTTTCTCAGAATTAACACATAAAATCCATAGGCAAAAGGAATAACTTTTTTTTTTCTATTATATTTTCTCAGCAACCAACAAGACCTAGGGTTTCGAATCAAACAATTCTGATCAATCTGAGCTTTTTCATTTGACAGGAAATTTAAATAAAAAGTGAATCTGAAAAAAAATTCGAAGCAGCACGAAATAGAAACCTGATTGAGAGAGATAACCCTGGAATTGTGCGCAGAAGCTTGTTATGAGTTGAAAAACCGAAAGGGAAACCGGACTGAATCTTCCGACAGACGTCTCTACAGTTAGGAGAAGAAGAGAGAAGGAATTTTTTCTTTTTTCTTTTTTCCTTTTTTGTTTTTTACTTTGCCGAAAGGAAAATAGAAAAAAAGAAAACGGGTTGTTATTAGTTAATTTCAAAGATAAAAAAAAAAAAGAAAAAAAAGGATAGAATTACAGGTTATTGAGTATTGTAAAAGCAACTTTTGCTTAATTAATGATAATAAATAAATACAAACGCAAAGAGGAGAGCCTTGTTGACCCAATTGTTAAAGACTTTGTACCATAAGTTATTGCTAAGTGCAAGGTAGATCAATGAACACAAAACATTGTTGTGAAATCTGAGTGGATCAAAGTATTTTTTAGTTGGAGAATAACCTTTTGTTTTAGTGTTGTGTTGTGTTGTGCATGAAATGGTATACTATTTGTTTCAGTCAGAAAAGGACTCCAATCTTTTCATCTATGCTCATTGCCGTTGATCTCTCCTCTCCTTATCTTTCATTTATTTCTTTTCATGACGTTCTGTTTTTTAAATGATTTTCAGGCGGTTGTGGTGTATATTTCCTTGGGTTGACCATTTTCTCCCTTTTTTTCTTAGTTTTAGTTTTAATTTTTCTAGGATAAGGTTGGCCCTTCTCATTCCCAGTCCCACATCATATACAGTACAAACAAAAATAAATAGATAAATTAATTAAAGTTGTTGCATTGAGTACTCAAAAAAAAAGAAAGGAGAAGCATATGCTCTATCCACCTTAGATAAAATGTCAATTCTAACCAAACGAAAGGTGATTACTGTTCCCGTAAAAGTCTTTTTACAATCAAGAGAAATAGAATAAAAGAAAATTCCCCTTTGACCTTGAAAATGTTTGATAAACCAGGAGATCGTGCCCTCTTCTAACAAAAAAAACATGAGGGGCCACTTGTTTTTTGAACCTTTGAGTCCCAGGTCAAGTAAATAACTATGACTAGCGAAAATTTGAACTTCATATAGTATATACATCACAAAAGCGGAATGAAATTTGAGTTCCAGGTCAATTTTTTTTTTTTTTTTGACAATTATTTGGGCGAGAAAAGAAAAAGGAAATGAGAATGGAGCGTCACGCTGGATCTTCAAACAGGGAGGCATTCATCTTTATAGATTCCTGGTCATTTTTATTTTTCTTTTAGAACAACTTGATATTTTTGTCAAGATAATTTTAAAAAAGTGATAGGCTGCTTGTTTTAGCCTCTTTTGAATCTACATCCAAACTTATCTTGACCTTCATATGCATTGTTCATCCATGAAAGTCTTACACTTTGGTTCAAGTAAATCATCTTTCAACTAATTGTCTGTCCAATTGCTTCCAATGCTTGGTGACTGGTGATGAAGAATCTTCATGGAAAGTATACTTTATGCCTGCTTGATTTCCAGTGCCCACAAAAGTTCCTCGTCAGTTGGTTTAAGTTTAACGCAAGACAATTTCTAATACTGTATTAATTTGTAAAAATTGCAGCATCTTATAGTAGATGAGTAATATAAGAAAACATGGATAGGGAGAAGAACTTGCCTCCAAGAAAGGCTGCATCTTTTGGACTTCGTCCTACTGACATTGAATTGCTCAGCAAATAATCTTAAAGAAGCACAGATTAGCTCATCTGGTTTTGTTGGTATATGATATTAACTAGTATTCACTCAATAACTTCATTGAACACTGGATGATTTAGAAAGCATTAATCTGTACATTGGGGCTCCACGATCTATAACATGTTGCTCCCAATCTGATCGAACTCCAAATGGATTCTCCTCAAGCCATGTTGCTTGATTAAATTTTGTATCACAGTGGTCTTGCAAAAGGGCAAGTTTACCTTTGCCATATCTTAAAAATTGTTCTTTCATCCTCACAGCAACTTCTTCTATGTCAGATTGCAGAAACACCTAGAGAATGGAAGTCTATCAGTAAATAACCTGAGCAAACTTGGGATCTAACCTTGTCACAATTGCATCTTCCAACCCAAAATCAATGGGGTATTAGAAAAATTTTGCAGAAATTTGATGATGTAAACCAGACTTACAATTAGATCTTTTGTAAGAACAGTCAACAATAAAAGAGTACCTTCCCCTCATATCCAAGGAGATCTGCCACTGCTTCAACTAATGACCTTTGCAGCATTCTCCATCTATGTTCTGGTCTGTTGAAATCAGGGTTTGGACACTGCACGCTTCCAAAAAGAAAAAAATAAGCTTAAATTACAAATAATACACTCTTGAAATTGATGCAGAATTGCTATTACATTGATATCTGTTGACCTACTTTCAGGCTTTAGCCTCACTTAAATGAGAAATTGAAAGGTGTTCTGGCAAGCAATTTACTTGAGGCACTTTCTTTTTAGTTTCCAATAACTTTGAGAACTCGCAAGTATTATTTCCAGTATAATTAAAAATTGCCAATACTTGGCTGTTTCTTATGGTGGTGATGAAGGTGACAATAGAAGCAGTGCCAATTGTGTAGGAGACTGTGGTGGAAGTCAGGAAGCGACAAAGACGAGTAATCATTAAGTGATGCTGCACTATTTACCAAGTGATGGTAATGTTCACTGAAGAATGGTGATATTGTAGCCTGAGGAGCAAATCAGTGATGGTAGGGTTTATGTTGTTATGGAGGTGATAATGATGGTCTGGAAAGCGTATTACATATTTGTGATGCATTAGTTAACACAATTTAATTAATTCAGAAAAATTTAGGTAGTTTTCATTATAGGCACATAAAAAAGAATTAGGAATACTTAACAGAAGTGGATAATAAAGAATGAAAATAGTTTTGACCTGTATTGAAACAAGAATCAACTTTCCTGGGTAACTAGAAACTATTGAACGAAATGTTGATGTAGCATTTGTTGCAATGAAGTACCTAACACAGACAACAACAAAGTTAAGATGGTGAAACCAAAATATCAAGTTCATACTCAATAAATTCTGAATATTACAAACCAGCCATGGAAACATCTAATTAGAAAGAGAAGAGGCACTAGCAAGCTCCAGTTACAATGAACATAATATAGAAGTCTAATTAGTCTAGCAAATTATATTTTGCCCTGGATGCATAACTTCAGTAAAGTGCTAAAGGCAATAGCCCATACCCATTGTTTATGCCTGATAGATGAACAGAATCTAGACAACGTCTTATGAGCTGAAAAATTACAGAGTGTTAGGAAATGATGAAATTAAATTTAAGGAAGCAGCTAGGATAAAAAGTTAGCAAAATACCTTTGCATTAATGTCCAAGCCAAGAAAATTTAAATCCTTCCTCTTTCTAGCCATTCCAAGAAGAAACAGTCCATTCCCTACCGATTACAATCCAAATGTTAAGGAAACAGTAATAGCAGACTTTGTCGTCCTTTGGATTTTCAAACTTCTTTTTCTTGATAGATGGAACTTAAGGTTTTCATCTTAGAATCAAATTTACCAAGAGAAAATATGTAAAAAAGATAAAAGTATTCCACTAACATGGCTTTGTCATTGTTATATGGTTGAAAATAGCAAAGTTATGTCATTTGATTTCTATGTTTCTATTGTTTATGAAAAACATTTTATATGTGACATAGGAAGAATAGCAAAGTTTTTAGGATTAAGTGTTTTAGTTAACTTTGTCTATTGTTTCATTAGGATTAGGATATTTCGTTGTTTTAGTAGAATTAGGACTTAGTTTTTAAGCCTATGAATAAATCTTTCATTATTGTTTTAATAAACGATTCTTTCATTATTGTTTTAGTTTTTAAGCCTATGAATGAAGGATTCTTTCTATATTGTTTATATGCTTGATTAATTATTGAATAAAACCTTGGTTCTTTCTCATCTCTCTCAATCCTTTTAGTTTTCTCCCCTTTCTTGTTGCATCCGTAATCTGTCATCTCTTATACTATCTATCTCTAATCTTTTGTTCTTTATTTATCTATCCTTCTACTCATCTGTCAATTGATATTTGAGCAAATTTTGATTTCCTTTTAAAAGTTTCCACACCAAAACCCTAATTTTCCAAATCACAAATCCTAATTCTCATTCAAATTCATCTACCATAAACAAGAAAATCAGAAAACCAAAAAAAAAAAAAAAAAAAAAAAAAAACTAGCAGGTCCGAAATAATACTGTTCAAGGGTACTATCACGGTACTCTTCATGGCAAGGTTTTATTAGGGAGACAACAAGAAAAGGGAGAAAAGTAGAAGAATTGAGAAAGAAGATAGATAACCAATAGAGAGAGAACCAAGGTTTTATTCATTGATAATGCTTTTCTTTGGTGGTGTGATTGGCGACTAAAAAAATGTTGGTTTGGGGGATCATATCAAATAACTTGGTACAAAGTAAGACATGCTTGAGACGGCAATTTCTTCCTATGAAGTATGCTGACATGTTGTAGGAGTTTCAATGGCTATTAGACCATAATGATTTGTTAAAATTTGAACAAAAAGTGATTGCAAGATTTATGGGTGGATTACGTAGCGAGATACTAGATCAAATTGTCTTACAACCTCACCAGATAAGATCAACCATGGTGTTATCTTGATCGTTAGAAGCATCCACTAGATTGACCTTTTTCTCCAACACTTGCTAGGAGTGGAGTTCTTTCCAATGAGGGAAAATTGATGTAGGAGGATGTTAGGATCCCACATTAGAAGGGAAAAGGGTGGACATGTAGGTTATAAAGGGTTTGGGCACCCTCCCTTGGCAGACCAGTTTTTCCAAAGAGAGTTCTACCTAAGCCCATGAAAGACCCATGGCCCAGCCCAATTGTTTGAGTTGTTGGGGTGGGTTCCTATCAATTGGTATTAGAGCATGATTTTGCGTCCACGTGAACGTCGCTTATGTGGCAGGCTGACTCGTGGCAGATTGACCTTGGGCCCGAGCTGCTATCCCGAAAAAGGGCAGGAGGCCCAAGGGAAAGGGGATCCGCGTAGTCACCCAAGAAGTAAAGAGGCCGACGGGAGTAAAGAGGCCGATGTGGATGTCGACTGTGAAAGCGTGGTGGTGTGTTAGGATCCCATATTGGAAAGAAAAATGATGGGCATGTGGGTTATAAAGGGCTTGGACACCCTCCCTTGACAAGCCGGTTTTCCAAAGAGAATTCTACCCAAGCCCATGAAAGACCCATGGCCCAGCCCAATTGTTTGAGTTGTTGGGTGGGTTCTTATCAGAGGAATATCATAGTTTTTAAGATTAAGTGTTTCAGTTAACATATTTCATAGTTTTAGTAGAATTAGGATTATATTTTGGTTTTAAGCCAATGAAAAGAGAATTCTTCCATTAAATTTTATATGCTTGACTAAAGAATACAAACTTTCTCCCTGTTGGTTTTCTCTCTTCTCTCTGAAATTCTTCTAGTTTTCTCCCCTTTCTTGCTGTCTCCCTAACCTATCTTATTCAATCTATCTATCTGTAATCTTCTGTTCTTTATCTATCTTTCCTCCTACTCTCTATCAATATGTTTCTCTTTTAAACATTCATATAAATCTAGAACAACTTTTAAAGCAAATATTAAATGAAAAAAAGGTAATAACAGAAGCAATACCACTTCCAATATCAACCACCAATGATTGGGTAGGATTGCAGTATGCAGCATTCCAGTCAACCTCACATGGGTGTCCCTGCAGGTTGCATTAAGCTGAAGCAATTAGAATGATATCCAATGATACAAAGCTGAACCTTGTATCACTTATGTCTCCATTGATAAGTCAAATCCCTGTGCTCCTTCAAGCAAATACAGATAAATGAAATTAATTCATCAACCCTGGGAAGATCCAAAGATTTGTGTAGATACTAAGAGCATGTCTTATCAAACCTTGCAGGTAACTATTAGCATTGTTTGATGTGAGGAAAAGAAGCAAGGAAATGCAATTTACACAATCGTATTAGGAGGGAAGTAGAGGAGAACTGGTCATAATAGTATATATTTGATATCTCACCCTGGGATACAAACAAACACTTATTTCTCAGTTTTAACATTGAGTTTATGTGATAACTGTCAATATCCATATGGATACAGTAATACGAAAAGTCACAAAATTACTTTGCAGTGTTTAATCATTGAAATCCAATGGAAATTCATTTGACTGATTATTCTATATAGCATTTTAAACTGTCTTAAAGAATTTCTCTTCCAGACCTGATAAATCTGAAAGAAATATAATTTTGTTGCTAAATAAACTGTGATTGCTCTAGACATGTAATCATCTATATAAATGTCAATATGGTTACTTATTCTAAGCCCTTGGGAAAATTATTCTCAATCAAGTTCAACATAAAACATTTATAAAATGGCAAGGACCAGTTATATAGATAGACTTATCCTCTAGGAAATCCTAAGGTAACAACCTTATGATTATTAAAATATCATTGAGTATGGAAGTGACAGAATTGAATTAACTCCACTCTACAGTCATATTCTAAATGCTTTTCTCAAGAATCTTGCTGAACCAGCTAAACTGTACAGACTGAGGTCTAGAAAATGTACCCTGTCTAAGGCCATGACTCCATGAAGCGTTCTTCCTTTCAGAAACTCCCATACAACTGAAGCATTCTCAACCATGTTTAAACCTGAACTTGATTCTTTCGTGATTGACTTACATGCCATATTCTCAACAACAGTAATGTCACAGTCATTTTGACCTAGTTTAGAAAGCATTTTAACCAAATTAGATGCTCCACTTGTGTATTGATTAGAAAACTTGAACTTCACCGGACCGATCCATAAAATTTTCTGTCATGAACTGAGAAAATACATCAGGTAGGTGTAGGTTTGAGCATGGAAGTAGTAAGAACATAGAAAAAAAGCAGAGAACAAGATGCCATCAACAATAATCATAGACCACTTCAATGGTAGAATATTAGCCGAATTCGAGCCCATTTACTAAGGATAAGTAACAAAATGCAAACATATCCAAAATAAATATTACCTCTACAAAAATTCTAATTTGTTATATGGATTTGCATATCAGAGTGTAGGATTTTAGTGAGCCAGACCCAGTACTATTGTCCCTTATGAGACCACAGGAAACCACCCTCTTTTTTTTTGTTTTTTTTTTTTTTGCCTCTTTTGCAATTTACCTTGCATTTCATAATCAAAGAGTTTATCTCTTCCACTGACTGTGGCCCAAGATCAACAGGTACCCAACCTAAAATGGAAAAAAAAAAATTAGGATAAATAATTGCAAAACAAAAATCATTGTCATTTATGTAACTTGAATTATTAAGTTACAACTTATGACAGAAAAATCAAGAAGACATATAATTGTGATGTCATAATTGATAATTTACATTACTCCATCATGACTTGTTTCTTAGTTTTGTTTTCTGAATAGACTTTCTATTTATAATATTCATGACGAGAATCTGTAAGATTGGCCAACAAGAAGTTTGAGATGATCTGAAAATTTATCTGATTAAGATCACTTTCTAACCACTTCACATGCTATCATTTTCAAAGGTTGCCTGCAAATTAAGAAAATTTTCAAAGTTTATCCGGCTAGGCTAAGCACACAGAGATTACTTAAAACAAGTAATCGCACGGATAGTTTATTTATTCATTTCAAGAAGAATGATAAATGAAGATCAATTAAATTCATACTTACCATCTACAATACTCTGGGCAGGAAATATTTCCAATTGCTTTGGAAGGTGATTATTCATGCACCAAATGTCTTTTGGATACAGAATAGTTATGTTTTTATCACGTGCAAACTGGATGAGATCTAACGCTGCTTTATATGCCCCTTTTTCCACCAAATTCGAAGTAACGGGCAGCCCTAAAGCATGCATTATCTGAAATGCCATCATTCCAACAAAGACCAACCCATCACAACTAGAAGCTAAAAAATGCAAAGCAGTTGCTTTCTTATAGAGATTGCCCCCTCCAATCTGCATTGCATAAATAAAAGAACATTGGTGAAAAGTGACCAGAAACAGGCAAAAATTTAGGGGCCATTTAGTTTTGTTTTGATAAAGTGAATAGGGAAAATGGATATAAGAAATTGAATTTTGTCTTTTGAAAATTTGACAATCCATTTGGTATCATTTTGTAGAAACAACATTCTGAAAATGAAAATAATAAAATGTGTATGGTAAAATCTTTTAAAATTACAAAAAATTGTTTTAGTTATATGATTACTAAAATACCTTATTGTTGTTCTTAATGATTTTTAAACCAAATCATTCTTACAAAAATTAATTAAAAAATTAAACAATTTAAAAAGTGCTTTCTTGTTTCGAGAAATGCATCTTGAAAATAGAGAAAACAATGCAAAAGTATGTCTTTCTTTTATTAGAAGTTGAAACTGGAATTTCATATTTTCAAGAAACCAAAAAAAAAAAAAAAAAATGGTTGCCAAGCATGTTTTCGTTTTATCTAAACTTAGAAAAGAGAAATTCATTCTCTGGAAACATAAACAAACAACCACTTAACAAACTAAAGTAGACAAAGTTAATTTGAAATGGAAGTAAGAACATACAATTGCAAAATATGGTTTCTTGTCAAGTTTTGCAGCCTTATTCAGTTGACATAGGCTTTCTTCAAAGTGAAAACCAGCCAAACTGGTGTAGCAGAACCGAGCAACACCAACAGTTGATGCAAGAATTTTATGAGACTGGGAAAACGAGTCATTAACAAAAATATCAACTCCTGATGATAATAATTCAGAAAACTTTGGACAGTTGGCAACTTCCTCTTTGAACTCCATTAGGTTCTGAAGAAGAATAATATCTTCTTTCTGAAAGATGTCCATGTCCAATGGTTTCTTACAAGAAATGCTCTGTACACTAACAACTTTGTATTGGAGAGCTAAAGACAGGATACCTGTATAATTAAGAGTCTGAAACATTAGTGATAACCTCAAGCATTGACAATCATATTATTTTTCCTTCTCATTAATAACATTTATAATGTTCCCTATATTCTTCTACAGATGCACAGATATATAAAGATACTAATTGTTAACTTTTTATTTTTTTATCTAGAGCAACCATTTAGGAACTAAATTAGGTGCAGAAATGACTTTAAGAAAACCATACCTGCAACAGATTCCACAGACAGAATTTCTGAATTATATTTTCTTCTCCAGTCACTCAAAAGAATTACTCTAGCCCCAACTTCATGCAAATACCTAATGGTGAAAAGTGCATCTGAAACTGATCGAGAGCTCGGATCTAGTTCTTCTCCAAGCAAGACACTAGAATCAAACCTCACAAGAACAACTTTTGCAGCAAGTTCCTCCCTAGGAAATCTTCTAAGAGTTTGTATGTGCGGAAAGGTGTCCAATTTTACTCCATCCAAAACATTTGCCTACATGGAAATTCCAATTAAGTGTGTGCACTAAATTTACAGAAAAAGCTTTTATAAACAGCAATATCAAATGCACAATCACAATGAACATTCCAAATCGAATTTTGAGTACTTTTCTTATCAAAGAAAAACTCTTCCTGAAAAGCACTTATGAAGTATTGTTCTATATTTTTTCTCTATGTCAGTTCACATTAAAAAACAGATACAAAATGACTTCACACTATTTGATAAAAGCTTTTAGTAATACTAAAAGCACTTCCTAATAGCGGCATTGAGGTATAGCTCGAATCAGTAACAGTACACTCAAATTCAACACAACATATCTCTTATCTTTCTTCAAAAGAAATAGTTATAATACCTCGGATTCAGGTGTGCTTTTAACAGAATCGTCTACCTTCAAAACACCTGCAAGAGGCTGGAGCGACATAAGGATATTATCAAAGAAACTTAAAAAAAAAAAAAAAAAAATTCAGCAAAGTAATACCTGGAAAAAAGGATTGCGCGCAACGTTGATTGCGAAATACGATGTTGTTTCTAGTATAGGAACACGATTTTTTCTGCTGAAGCAACTTCGATTTTGCACTACTGCTTAAAATGTTGTAGCAGAAACTCAGTTTGTTTAATGACAGCACTCCGTCGTGTGAATTCAGTAATTGAGCCATCAACCGGACGAAGAAAATGAAAAATAGTTTCAATTTCAAATGCAGAAATGCATGCAGAATTACTTCAAAAAAAAATATATATATATATAATTAAAATTATTCAAAGAGAGCTTCTAATCAAGCAGAGAGGACCTGCGTTTATATCCTTCCATGCCACAGGCCTCTCTTGAGGCCAAGTTTGTTAAAACATGTACAGCTCACAACACGCTGCGTTTGAAGGATACGCTTAAAAAGATTTTTTTTTTTTTTTTTTTTTTTTATAAAAAAAAATTTCAAGACTCTACGACGCCGTTTAAGAGAACTAAACAAACAAGACAGATCAACGGTCTGCTTTGCTTTGCTCCAGTCCAGTGAAATACACGACACGACCTCTAGCTTTGGTGTGTCAACCGAGGAATTAAACTAACCAATCTTCGCAAATTCATAGATCAGAGTATTGAAACGATGGGTGTAGGTTTCCTTGTTGGCGTACTTGGAGTCGTAATTCTCGCTCATGCAGCTTATTCAACCGTTCAATGTTATCCCTAAACCTATTGCCAAGCATCCATATGTCTTTCTTTGATTCTTTTTTTCTTTTTGGCTTGATTCTCGTTTGATCTGATTTCAGATAGGGGCTTGCTGAAAATTATGGAAGAGGAGTTCTCTGGGCCTCCTTTCAATGTCAGTGTTATTGAATTTATTGAATGGGATTTTATGCTCTGTTGATGCGTTTCTGGTTTTAATGCGTTATTATTGATTGTTTATTTATTTATTTTTGTTTTGGGAATATAGGTGGTGATTGAGTTGCTTCTCGGGTTATTGTTATGTACGTGGGCAGCCCTAACGGTGCCAGGGAAGTTTTTGTCAATTCACCCCGATTCTGATGATAATAGGTATGCTGGTCTAGATTGTTTCAGTTAATTTTGTGTTTTTATTGAACTTGGAGAGACAAAGATGTCTTATGAAATTTTAGGGCTGTGGAATTGAAATACTCCATGCATTGTGTCTTTATAACATATGCTAGAAGATTGAGATTGAAGAATCGTACTGTTATCTGATCTGTGGTAGTTCGAGTTGTGAGCTTGGCTGCTATTTTTGCGGTTTTGAGATCTGAAGTACATCGTATGATGGACTTTGTCCATTGTGTTATCCCTTTCCATTACACGTTCTGGAACATGATATAGCTCCTTAAGAAATTCAATTGTATAGAGAGGCAGTGGGTTTCTTGTAATACTGGGAACTAGTTCTTGAAGTAGATCCAAAATGCATTCCTTTTTGTTGAGTTTGTTCCTTCCCCTTGCACCTTACACATGATGGAATACAATCTCTTTGGAATTTATTTCACTTGTGGTTTACTTTGATAAGGGTCGTTTCAGTGTTGATACTATTGAAGACTGTTGTAACCACTACCATAGCACATCAAGATGTACAGTAGTGACATTGTGATAACGAGATCCCTGCAACTAAAATAGGAACATCTTATTTTGTCATACTTAGATGGATGTTTTTAATTTATAATGAAACATATGAGAAACTATTTCTTATGGAGTTAAAACTAGCTAACTTATTGCCTCTACCTTGTATCAACAGATTGATGGTCCATTAACATGTACCTTTTAGTAGTTCATTTTGAAGGATGCATATTGCTCTGGTGGATGTGGATATGTGTACCTTGTATTGATAGATTTGAGTTTGTCTCCAGATATAGGAACAGATCACAGGCATTTACAAAAGACTGAGATGATCTAGAAGTTTTATGCATAGTTTTGGGGTAGTTTATCTTTTCTATGTAATACTTTGACATCATCAAATAGATCAGTCTTATCTCTTCATGAGCAACCCTGTAGTTTTGAAATGAGGCTACTGCCCTAATTTTGGATGCCTCTCTGTTCTTTGCATGGCTCTTGTATGAGCTGCAATAGCTCTCCTCATGCCACTGGCTACTCTTTTGTTCACTTTGTTATTTTGCCACCTGCTAGCCACGTGTCTCCCATTTATGGATTATTAACTTTAGTTTACAGCTGCAAGGACTTAATCTTCAAAAAAGAAGGTACTGGATGTGTAAGGTAGGAAATATTGAGCTCCCTTTAGGCTCCATTTTGGCCCTGATCTGGGGCATGATTACTTTTCTTTTAATGAACCAAGTCTGCAATTCACTAGCTTATAATAAATCAGAAAAAAGGGACCCTATCACCACAAAAAGAGCTCTAATAAGGCTTGTGTGAAAGGGATTGATACCTAAACTTCATGCTCCATGACAAAAAAGTCTTATTAACTAGCCTCCCCTTTAGGACACATTAATTGTTTACTTTAAAGTACGTAAAAGTAAAATTTGCATATTATATTCAGTTATTCACAGACCATCTTGTCCTTGTGACTTTTTAAAATTTCAATGCGCTCAACTCTTGCTCTTTGCCTATATTTTAGTTGAGGTTAATTTGCCATAAATTTATCTGATTATGGTTCAAGTTATAGTAACTTAAAGATTTGACTAAATTTTGTGACACTAATTTTTTGTCATTGGTCAATTGCAACCAATAGACTTGAGATGAAAGTTGAAGATAGTTAGCTTTTGTGCCACCTCAGTAACTTTTAAAATATGAGATTAAAATGAATTGATGGCTATAAATTAGTGCAAGTCAAATATTTAAGTTACTATAGCCTAACCCCTTAATTATTATATTCCGAAGTGAGAAATGGGTTATACTAAGAAAGCCAGGGCTTGATGCATTGGCAGAAGGATTTTATGGGAATTATTGATTTTGAGAGCTTTATGTTTAAAAATATCCCTTTAATTCTCAGTTTTTTCTTTTGATTTTACTTGGTAGTCAGGATTGTAAAATGACAGCTCTTGTGATCTTTTAGTAGTTTTTTGTAGAAGCATTATTTCAGTCACTGACTTGAGGATCTGTGCATCCTTGAATGCAGGATGGTTTCTTTACCAGGCAACCTGGAATACATGATCTTCAACCATCGTGGGAAAGCTTTTCCTTCAGATTTGAATTTGAAGCTGAAACATTGAGGTGGTTTCACTTGGATTAAGAAATTTTCCAGAGGCTTATATGAGAAGTGCTCTATTTTTCAGATACTTGTAGTTGAAAAGATGAAGCTAGGATAATCAATTGAACATATCCGATTTCTTGACTTGTTCTAGTTGATCGGATGATGTAGCATAACTATACTTTGTATTTGTTTAGCTGCTTACCAGTTCGTGGCAAAATTAAAAATTCTCTGTTTATTACTGGAAATTTAATTGAGACCCGTTTACAAAGTAGTCTGCACCAAGCCCAATGAGCTTGAGGTCTGTTAAACATGAATGGACAAATAGCTTAAACTGCAGTAAATTGCATTTGTATTTTGGATTTTTGCTCTCAGGTGGTTTTCAAGTTTCGTATTTAAGGATCATAGTTTTCATCTGCATAGTCTACAATTACATATAGCATTTGGATTCAGTGTTTATACTTAAACAATCAGTTTTGTTACACTTGACCAGAGATAAGAACATTCAAAATTTGCATTTAGTACTGGCGTCATGTCGTTTACTTCCGGTTTCTGTTTTGAAAAAACCTTTGTTCTTCTAGCCAGAAATCTTTATAATCTTGTATACTGCTGATTCTTGCCATGAATTTGCTGACAAGACAGAAGAAAGGAGACACTACCGGGGATAGCTTTTAAAGACATTATAAGCTATTGCAACTAGCAAACCCAGGTTGGTAGTTCAAAATATAGTCGGCATGGCTGAACCTGGAACTCCAATTTTTTTTTTATAAATAAGAAATAACTTCTTGAAGGGCTCAATTTGTGAAATCAACATCTAAATGCAGTGCACTGCTTGCAGTCAAGTATTATGCCATTTATGTTCTGTATAAGAATCCTTCAATAGTTACTACCAGGTAATTATTAGATGAACAAATGAATAAGAAAGACAATTGGAAAGTGCAATAGATGCCAGCTCTTGTGTTGAATAAACAATAATAATTGTGCCGGCAGAGTAGATTTCAGATTTCTTTTAGATGCATGCATTTTAGCAGCATTAACTTTTTCAGTTATCATCTCCAGTTGAATATCATTCAACAGGATCAAACTTTAACAAAACATTCCTCCACAAGACAGCCTACTTCAGCAGTCATTTTTCAACTATAGGCTTCAGTGCTTCACCCAAACATTTAGGCAACAAAAGCTTTTGCTAGATCCCATCAACTACGCTAAACTCAAGATAATAGAATACAATCTGAACTGCAACTTGAGAAAGAGCTTAATGTTAGATATATTTACGTAGTATTTCTGATTTCCAAATGGCTGAAACTACAGCTACAGAACACTGAATATTGCATACAAAAAATATCCCAATACGTTTCACCAAGCTGTACTTGTCAATCAAAGAAATGAGACCTGAACAAACAAAACACAAGAACAAAGCTCAAACATAATTTTTCTGTCACCTCAATGTCAACTTATGCAATCCATTTGGTAGCCTCACATTTCTTTGGAGAAAAGCCAAGTAGGTAAATCTAGAAGGGCCTCTCAGGGGTGAGACCACGTCCACCATTGCCAAATCTACAAACCTTTCAACTATTTATACCCAACTAAAGTTTCCATAGTCAAAGAAGAAACAGTTTCAAGATTTAGTGAAAAGCCCAAAGCACATGGATCAGGGAAAAAAAAATGGAGCAATACTTGCTTCTTTGTGGCTAAGAATGCATTGATGCAGCTACAGAAGTGCTTCTACCTTTTCAAGGGGCATACCAGACATCTCAAAAGCATACACGACTTTGAAACTGTGAAAAAGCGGCACTTTTCTGTTCTTGTGCTCAGCAGCAGTGAACCCCAGAAACTTTCAGTTGCATTGAGGTATCTTGCATACCCACCATTTATTAAGTTGCTAGATGTGGCAGAACAAGAATTTGGATTCAATCAAAAGGGTGTACTGATCATCCCATGTGAAGCAAGCAAGCTCAAAGTAATCCTATCATAAAAGCTTGCAAAACTCTTACCAAAAATTCAAACTGGCGCATTCAGCAGAAAAATGGCTTGCAAAACTCTTACCAAAAACTGTAAGATGGTAGTATAGTCATTCCACTTAAAGTGCACCAAAATTGTATGTGATTAATATTAAATAATTTCCCATCAACTGTTAGAAATACTAGTATATACATACATAAACAACCAACGGCAACAACATACATGCTTTCAAATGAGAATCAGCAACTAGGCAGTCCTCAAACATACGTACTAAATTCAAGAAACTAACATTCCTCTTAACTTGATCGTTGACATGCTGAATGTGTATAATCACCCATTAACATTATCAAAGATGGCTTCAATCTAACTTTGAGATAAATCTTGCCCACCTTATCAGGACTTCATGATCTGAATTAAGGATTTGCTTCTTTCAATCTTCGCTAATTTTTTTTTTTCAAAATAATTTTCATTTAGCATGGTAAATGCATTATTCTTTGTTTGTTTTTTACCCTTAAAATTAAGTGCAAAAGTTGCAAAATACAAGCTAATGGTTAATTGACAAACATGCTTAAGAGGCATTGCTAGGTATTATCCATCTATCACGCATAATAAAAGTTGTGAGTACCAGAAAGCACAGAATTCAATCATATCAATACAACTATAAAAGGTCACTGTAAAATTACAACATGAGATGGTGAAAAGAGCAAAACTTTTGATTTTCAAAGAATCAGTCTACACTACAGCGAGAGAAACGTAAAAACAAACACTCACATACCTATCACAATTGTTAGAGTGGAGTGCCAAGGGAGTCCCAACAGAGTTCCCTTAATATCAATGCCAGAGCAACAGTATGCCTCTAGTGTAAGAGCAACCATAGCCCATTACTTCTGGCACCAATTTCTAAACTAAGAAGATTTCTACCGAGCATACCAGTCATGAACTATTTTACAACTGAGTGAGTTCTTGTGGATTTTCTATAGATTGTCTAAGAATATACTCAGCTCTTCTCTTCTTGTCATCCTTCTCATCATCCCGCCCAAATGACATGCTTCTTCCACCACCCTTCTTCTGAAGACTCGTATCCAGAAATTCACCCAGAAACTTCTTTCCACTTCTAATTTTAAAATGAACAGCAGGCCTCTTGTGAGGAAGACTGTTCCCATCACCTTCTCCATCATCACAAAGCCCGCTACCTTTCACTGCTTCAATGGCAGGACCAAATGCATCCATTACAGAAACATTAGTTCCCCCAGACACTTCATTTTTAAGCTTAGCAGGCAAAACCACTGGAGAAACATCTTTCTCTTCAGATTGCAACGGCTTAGCAAGATATGGGTTACTTCCAGCTTCTTGAGAATCATCCACCTCATAAGTCGGCTTCCCTGAGGACGAACTTCCTGCTTCACCATTAGACACCAACCTCTGCTGCAAACTCAACAAAGCCATCTCCGCCTTCCTCCTCTGCCTCACCTGCTCAATCTTATCAGCACGAGGATCAGATTTCCTCTCATTCCACATAGGCGTTGAAATATACGTATGAAGATCAGGAAAAGCGGGCAACCAAGATGGAATATGTTTACCCGGCGGCGTTTCACTCACTTCTTCAAAACTCGGTATCAATCTCCTACTCCTAACAACAGGGAACTGTGGGATTGGCTGTGCAAAAGGGACTTCCTCATTAGACTCCACAAACTGAATTATTTCCCTTAACATGCCTGACCCTACAAGACATTTACCAATCTCTGATGCACCTAAAAACCCATTTATAGCTCCTAACTCTTCTAATCCACAAATTGTATCGAATAAATTGCACTGCGTTCTACCGGCTAAGTTAGCATGAAAACTGGACGTTTTACCTAAGTCACGGATGAATCTGATTGCAAAGTCTGCAAGGGCGTCCAAAGCCGAATCTTTGAAGCCTTCAAATCCAACGCTTTCACATATTTGTGCCACCGCGATTTTTGCAACTGCTCGACCAAAATCTTCAGCTCCAGCTCTTCTTGATGACGTGGCGCTTGTTGGTTCACTCTTTGGGTTGCTCTCTCCACCTCCATGGTTCATATTCAAAACCTCATAATCAAAATTAGGGTTTTATCTCTACTCTCTCATCATTTATCACATTAACAACCCACTAGTCCTCGAAATAACCCCCACGTAAATCATTAAAAGCCCATTAAAACACCCGTTTCGGATCTCCCTTTCCTACGTTTTTTCAGCAAAAAAACCGAAGAAAAGAATCGAACAAGACTCCGCCAAACCCTAGAATACTACAAAATTTGAAAATTTTAAACCCATAACGGCCAAAAAAAACCAAAGAATGGTAACTCAAAACAAACAGTAATCCCTCAGAGGCTGAATTGCAATTCAAGAACTCAAGAAAAGAAGCTTCAAATTGAAGCTTAATCAGAACATAAAACTAATAACAGAATTCTTTCCCCTTTTAAAGAAAAAAAAACCCTAAAAGAAAATGAGCTGGAAGATTCTGAGTAAGGGGTTTAAGGGGATATGGAGGGAATTTTGAGAAATTGAAAACCCTTATAAGACCATAAAAAGAAGGAAGTGGATCGAGAGAGAAGTGAAAAAATAGGTGATGAGTGAGGCCGATGAAGTGCGCTCCTGAGGTTTTATTTATAAATTCATTTTCCCAATCACAGGTCAAAACTTGTAAGGCTACGCGCTGGAGTACAGTATGATTTTGTACTCGCTACAGATATGGGAATTACTATGGGCCAGAGTATAGTGGCTAGACTTCGTAGGGGCCGAAAGGCATACTACGTATTTACTAAGAGAGAAATTAAATTGTTTGGCCCCCACAGTCACAAGTAAGGGTGTCACGAATGCACCTTTGTTGCAACCAGATTTGGTCGGTCCTCAGCTTTCTACGACTGGTCGAATCTTTGGAACATGCCCACCGCAACACTAGTTTTTCTATTTTTTGTTTTTATTTGTTTGAATTAAATTGTATAAAATATAGTGAGCATTGTTGTAAGTGGTGGATTTCCACCGATTTGGCACATGGCCTAGACAAGTCCACTTAAAGACATAAATTATGATTTATTATTGTATAATTGATTTTATGGGAGATGGGTCAATACGGAAACACTGTATATTAAACCTATTTCCTTTATTTTATATAGAGTAATAATATGTTTACAACTGAGTCATACAACTAGATAAAAAATAAAAGATAAAACAATCATTTTATATAAATTTTATGCAATTTTTATCTAGTTACATGATTCAGTTATAAGTAAAACATTATTGTTTTATATATAACACAATTGAGAGAAAGAGTTAATAAAAGCTTCTCGTCAGCCCTCTTTATTATGCTATTTTACTTTTCAGTCCTTGTTAGTTTATTTTATTACAATTACACCACTAAAATTATCATACATTATCAGTATGAGGAGCTCAGTAAGTGTAATAGTTTTATTCATTCATTTTATTATACATTATGTGATAAAACTACCGTTATGAGTATGCTCCATGGTTGCCATAAAATGGATTTTCTATATCAGAAAATACATTAGTTCCTAACAATAATATATTTGTTATAATTGTTTCCTGAACTAATCAATTGACTTTATTTTTATACGTATTACTAATGTTGTTACATTTTGCTATTAATGACTTTATTGCATCACATATTTATTTTTATGAGTTTTAATTTCGATGCAAGGATTTAGAACCAGCAGTTCTAACACCAATTATAGACCTAAAGTTTTGAGATATTTATTTTATCCTAAAAGAACCTGAAATTTTGATACAATATTCTAAGGAACTTGAAATTCTAATATGATTCTTTTACTTTAATACCTGAAGCTTTAAAAACTCTTTATGAAATTAATAAATGATCTTTTATATGTTAATCTAACATGTACACTAATTGCATTACTCTTATTAATGAATAGTTTATGGAAATGTCGAACCTTGTGAAGCTTCAGTATGATGCCTTGAGACTAGATGGAAAGAACTATGTTGAATGGGCCCTGGACATTATTCTCCACTTGGAATCTATGAACTTGGGTAAGGTGATTAAGGAAGGAAATACAACATCCCTCTGGGACAAATTGAAGACTACTATTTTCCTCCAACATCATATCCAAGAAAGATTATGAGCTGAGTACGTGGATATAAAAGATCCACATCAATTATGGACTGATTTGAAGGAGGGATTTGAACATAATAAATCAATAATACTCCCAATGGCTCAATATGACTGGACTTATTTGCGTCTACAGGATTATAAGTCTGTCAGTGTGTATAGTTTTGTTTTGTTTAGAATTGTCTCTAAATTGAGATTATGCAGACAAAAAATATTTGAAAAGAATATGTTAGAAAAAAACATTCACTACTTTCCACCTTTCTAATATACTTTTGCAATAGCAATACCGGGAACGTAACTTCAAGAAATATTCTGAATTAATTTCTTGTTTGCTTGTTGAACAAAATAATGATTTGTTATTGAGAAATCATTTGACTCGTCCTATTGGCGTTTAACTGTTCCCTAAAGTGAACGCGATTACTAGTAGTAATAACCAATGTTCTGAAACCCGAATCAGAATGTGACTCGGTCGAGTAACCGATTTTCGGTCTGAACGGTCCAACCGATCTAACTCATGATGTCATCAAATATATATATATATATATTTTTTTTTTTTTCCTCACATGTCATTTCATCTTCTCTCTCTTCTTTTCTCCTTTATATTTGTTTTCCTCTCTCTTTCTTTCCGTCATCTCTTTCTTCTTTATATACGTCACATCATCTCTCTTTCTTCTTCTCTACTTCATCATTTTTTCCCCATCTCTTTCTCACCGTCTTTCTCTTTTTCTTCACTTCTTTCGTATTCTCTCTTTTCTCAGTCACCTGCTCTTCTCTTTCTTCTTCTGCATTTTCAAGTTTCTTCTTCATCTTATTTTTTTTTTCTCTTTCTCTCCGTTTTCTTATCTTTCTTCTTTTGCTTCTTCAGATCTTCTCCTTTATCTTTCTTTTCTTTCACTTTCTAATCTCGAATCTAACTAAAGATGAATAAAAGTGGAAGAGAAGATGAATGAAGTTGGATTGGAAGCCGAAGAAAGACGAAGAAACAAATGAAAGATTAAAGAAACGAAGGCTAAAGCAAAAAAAGCATGGATTTTTCCTTTTAAAACAATCACATCTGTTGGACTGGATTTTCATCTGATCCGGTTAAATCGGCGGTCTGACACTATTTTAACGGTCAGAAGCGGTTTAAATGAAAATACCGGTTTTAACACTTAATAAACCGGAATCATTGACGAAAGCCGGTTGGATCGGCTGGACCGCCTGGTCTGGTCCGGGTTTCAGAACATTGGTAGTAACCATAGGCGTGGTTGAGGTTGTGGGCGAAACAATTTTTGACCCAAGGGTGGTCATACCAAGAAGTTGTAAATGAATCGATGAACCATGGAAGCAGAAAAACAAAAAAAACTACTCATCGATTACTTTAATTCCCATGATCCGGGTATGATGAATATATGTTTTACATATGAAATACAAGATTAATTAATCCAAACAAGGTTTCGATTATACCTGCATATGGAGGCTCCTTCAAAGATTTGATTTTGCTCTCGATTCAAGAATAGAATCGCATAAACATTGATCCACACGAAGACAATCTGAAGAATCAAGAGTTGATTTGCTAAAACAACTTGATGGCTTCAAGAATCAAGAAAAATAGAATTTTTCTCTTCACCAAATTGATGAACACGTGAAAGTAAAAGTGTGGCTAGGGTTTTTCAATTATTTGTAATTGTATATTTGTTTTAATTTAAGTTGCACTTACATAGTGCAACTAATTAAAACCTTATTCCATTTAGGAATAACCATGGATTCCATTATTAATCCATCCTTGTAGCCAAACAAGTCATATTGGTATTTTAATTAATTAATTATTATTATTATTAAAATCCACAAATATTAATATATTAAAATATATTAACATTAAATGATAATAATATTCCATTTAAATATATGCACACATATATTTAAATATAATCTCACCAATTTTAATTTCAATATTAAAATTGAATACAGACAACAACCATCAAATTTAATTGCACTGTGAGATTATCAAAATACCATTTCATCTTAAAAGACGAAAATACCTCTTTCACATATTAATTCTTAAATTATCTTCTAAGTGTGTGACTCTTAGGCTCCTTATCATATCAATAGTGAGTAGTATCGTGATTAAAATTCAACTAATCATTTCACTACACATAGACCAAGATTGGCCTTTAGCAAGATATCATGCTCCCCCAATAGATTCAGATTTAGCAAAACAGCTACCTATCAATGATATGGTTATTGTGCAATCAAATCTCTTCATCATACATTATCTCATCAAGGCTGAGGTACATAAATAGTGTCAACCCCAGATGTCCTTGATCTCTTTGAATTCGGTTACTGGACCAATGACTAGAATAGATTGGATTGAGCAACAGCTCAATCCCACTGTGGCCATAGATTTAGTGTTATTGCCATTTTACCGAATTGCTTAGTGAGAAAATTTATCCCGTACCCGGGAGCGATGAATCCTCTATCAATCCACCATAGCTTGATATACTTCTCGATGTAGCCAATCACTACCGTTCTAATAGTCCTGAATAAAACTACGTTAAGCCAGTGTCAAACTACATTAATTAGTGCATAAGGCGCTCCAGTGAACTCAAGTCTAAGGATCAGAGGCACTACCATCCGTTAGAGGATTTATTCCACAGACACTAGTGTTACCATCTGTGTGGAATCTTTTGGTGGGTCTGTCCGGTGAACTCGTCTATGACAAACACCCATGTGTTGCACCAGGTTGTCAGTAAACAACCTTGACAAATGAAATCAATCACTGCCTTTCGACAAGGTCGTTCAACACTATGATAGTCTTACCGTATTATCTGTGTCCTTAGTCAGAATAATATTGGGGCTATAGACATTTCTAGAACAACCACCATATGTGATCATAAGATCCTCACTATCAAGATTTGAAACAGTTGATACCCTCGTCACGGTTCCACCATTCTAAGGACATACATCACTGTTAGGAATCAACCTACCCAACGCAACAGAAAAACAAAGATCAAAAGGATAAATCGATTCCTTTTATGCCAAGATCCGGGTATAAATTATATAGTTTACATGTTAAATCAAAATTCTACATAAAAATAATATCAATCCATTCAAGGATTAGAGATCTTACGCATGTTTGGAGGCTCCTTCAAATGTCTCTGAATTTTTCTTCGCTACCGATTCAACGTAGAACCGCACGAATGGTGACTCACACGAAGACAATCCGAAGAACCAGTCTTTGTTTTGCTAGAACAAAGGGGTGGCTTCAAGAATCAAGTTGAATCAAAGAAAAACTTTGATTCACACAAAGGGAAACGTGAGAGAGTGAGAGTAAATGGGTGGTTGCCTTTTTCTATTCAATAATGATTGAATGAATAATGAATCAATATTTCTAACTCAACTTGCACTTTTATAGTGCTAGAGTTAAAACCCTATTCCTATATGGAATAGGCATGGGCTCCAACCCTAATCCACCCTTGTATCTAAAAGTGGAAAAATAACCCGCCTGGCCCGGCCCGCGACGGGTTATA